CTGTATGCTGTCATGTTTGTTTCGAGTCTTGTGATGGTGTAGTAAGTGCGGATGATAAACTCGTTCATTTCTGTTGTCCATTTCATCCGTTGGCGTGGTTTTCCAGCCTTTGTGGTCTGTGGATGAATTGCCACAGAAACACCAAGGCTAGGTTGATTCCTCACATCTGTTGAGGGCATTGCAGTAGCCATGCTTGGGCCGGCGCTGCTTTCGCCACCGGTAACCAAGGGAGACTGTGGCCTATTTTTCGAACGTGAGCCTCTGCCTAACCCACGAACGCGGACCTTGTTAACCCGGGCGACGTCCGAGCCGGTATCACACTTTGATCTGGTTACTACCATTATGATTATCTCCACATAATGTGGGTGTGTGGTCACTCTTAGCTTCATTTCTCCCCATAGACCTTACTGGCATGGGTGTCCCTACCAGGAGCTTGTGCTCCAGCCTGCATTGCCCTATGGTTCAGTAAAATTACTGGGCTCTCCCACCACGACCAGGTGGTGACCACGGGAGAGTTATTATTATTATTATTATTATTATTATTATTATGTTGCAAATGTCATGCTCAGCTGATAGTGGTGCCAAGTGCTATGTCAGACTTATTGAAAGTCAAAGCATAGATACCCAAACAAGTATTAAATTAAGTTTCTGTGTTATTGGTACATGCATCAACATCTAGAAACTTTCCAACAATGTGACGTGTTCAATATTGCAACTTTCTGTAGTGCCGTATATGTTTTTATTAAGGTTTAATGTTTCTAGCCTTTTGTGTAGTGTATGTGGTATAACACCAGTTGAAGAGAAGACAACAGGTACAATACATACCTTATTCAGTCTCCACATCTGTCTTACTTCTTGAGTGAGTGGAGTGTACTGTACTTGTTGATTTTTTTCAACGTGAGCATTTTTTATGTTATGAGTGTTTGGAACAGAGTTGTCTATTATGTAAGCAATCTTACTGAATTTGTCAATGAGAGTAATGTCAGGTCTATTGTGATGAATTGTTTTATCTGTGATTATGGTCTGTTTTAGTATATTTTGTGTGTATCATTTTCTAATACTGCCCATGGAATATATTTGTAGTATGGTAGAGTTGTCATTATCCATTGGTGGGTGATCGACAAATATATATTTTTTAATGTCTAATGACATTAATTAATTGATCTGAGTATCCATTTTATTATTATTTAATTTTTGTATGACTTCATCAACATTTTTTATGCTAAATTGGGAGATTGCAAAACAAAAATTGAAGTTGTTTCCAAATTTTTATAAATCATAAAAAATGTAATTCCTTATATCAATTAACAGTCTCTATTGAGTGAGTGTTTGTGTTTTAACTTTTATGTTAATCTTTGGTAACCTATTTGGACCAGACAGACAAAATAAATTTTGCCCCACCCTTTTCTATAATACTTTTTTTTTTAATCAATCTCCCTATTATTATTTTTGTTTTTTATCAAATGTTGCAATGGGTTATTCATTAATTGGTCATATGTATGTTGAGTTAATACAGTAGAGCATTGATTATCCAACACAATTGGGGACTCAGGTTGGTCAGATAACTGAAAAAATCCGATAACCGAAAAGAAGGAAAAAAATACATTATTAGTATAGTATATTAGGATATTAATATATCCCATGTAATTAGTTTATTAGTATATCGCTATTAACCAACTTTGTGTTGAATTTTCATCGATGTTTAGCCTAACAAATTTTTTTAAAAAATAATAATCGTCACTNAAAACAAACACTGATACACAGCACAGTGGCACACCAACAGAAGAAGAACTCGCAACTTATTGGTCTTCTCTTTGGTCCAATGCTGTTACACACAATGCTGATGCAGGCTGGATCAAGGAGGAGAACAGAAACTTTCACAACATACCAAGTATGCTCTGTGCTGAAATAAATGTACACAACATCCGCTATGCTGTTAACAGAACACACAACTGGAAGACACCTGGTGTAGACAACATTCACAATTTCTGGTACAAAAAGTTTACATCACTGCACCAGGAACTAGCTAAACATCTAACACACATCATCATCAATCCACAAGACATGCCAAAATTTCTTACTCTGGGCATCACCTACATGAAACCTAAAAACAACAAAATCACAGACCCCACCCAATACAGACCAATTGCATGTCTTCCAACACTCTACAAATTATTGACATAGTATTCAGAATTTTAAGCAATAATTTTATGAAAAGAAAGAATATATTAAAAATGCAAATATTTTATTATGCTCTTGTTTTTTCACAAAATGATTATAAAATATTCAGAGAAAAAAATTAAATCAAATATGACTTAAGTTTGGACATTGCATAATCTAGAGGTTTTTCAAATTTTTAGTCTGAAACTGAGGATTTAAAAACTGCACAAAACCTTCCTGCATCTAATTTATAAAATCTAATATTAATACTATAAATTCAAAGTGCTGTTATATTTTTTTTACAAGCTAACAATAAATACTTCAAGTTCTTAAGATGATGTTAAAAATGTCTTCGTTACAAATCTGAACATATGCAAAGTTTTAATAATGTTATCATAATATTAATGAGTATTATGTTATGAGTATCAAATAAGTAGCTTTTCTTCAACTTAGACATCTCAATTTCTAAATTGTTTTACAAAACTGTAGACTATAATCTCTTCAACAAAATCAAATTCAATTGATTATATAAGTTAATGCATATTAAAGGGTGTTTAGAATACAGAATAATGTTAATTGTACTGACAATAGTTTAATGTCCTAATAGCATAAATTATTTCCATATTACCAACATTTCTGATCATACTATATATTATACACTAAAATCTGTGTCCTATCAATTTCCATTAATATAATGATAAACTCTTATAGTTACAGAATTATAATAACTTGTTTATAACATTAAAATTAGTTATGAGTCACATATTCAAAACAAAAATAATTTACCTCAGAAGTAATCACAAGGGAAAATGTTTGCTTTTCTTTTTGTGCAAGATATAGTCTTAAATCTGGAAACAGATCTACTTCTTCATCAAATAAACAAACTTCTGTTTTTCTGTACCAAAAATCATCAGGAATCTCTAGCATCTAATTATTCAAAAAGAATTTTAAATTATTTAAAATTCTTCTTTTCTACATTAAAGTATGTATAGATATAAAACAAAATTTTCTATATATTACATATAAAATTATTTGAAATTTTTATAAAGTAAAATTTACCATTGTATTATGTTTAATTTTTTCAACAATCCAATCAAAAGCAGGTTGAGGTACTACAAAATTTGATGAACCTGTATCTATTATAGTGTGATTGGTATTTAACTAAAAAATAAAAAATTTTTGTATGTTGTAAATATGCATTGATTGATATTAAAATATTTTACATACTGTTCACATAGGTTGGTACATATGTATGACCTGGAGGGAATACTAATTGTGTTTGAGAGTTTGATAGAGGGACAATTGACACTCAAGAGGTATTTGATGTTTTATCCCAAACAAATGTTTTATCCCAGATTGATAGCTCTGGATGCATCAGAAAAGTCTGAAAGCAGTATTGAATTGTCCCTGTATAAGTTTCAATTTAAATCTCATACACTTTGCAATATGAGGACAACTAAAAATAAAGTTTGTATGTCTCCAATAAAGAATCTAGATTCTCTGTGAGTATAATATAGAGACAATGAAAGGAATTTAAGCAGGGATCAATTTTATGAACACGTACAGAATTTGATTGTGTCTAAAGACAAAAATCATTTTAGAATTTGCATTTCTTACTTCATTTACAACTTAATTAATTGCATTTGATTTGAATTGAATTACGTCTGTACTTTTTGAATAATTTAATTTTCTTGCCAGGACATACATATGCATCACCCTGTAAGTAACAAATATGAGAAGTTATTGAATACAAGCTCATTTAATTAATTTCAAAATATAACATTCCAATCTGGTTATTATAAATATAAAATAATAATAATAATTCAGTAAATTTTTGGAAATATATTAAATGTTCAGTATTAAATCAAAGTGCAAAATTTTTTTACATATGCAAACAACAAAATCCTAACTTTATAATCATGTTAATTTGGATCTAACTTTGCATCAATAATTAATAGTTAGCCAAAATATATGAATTTCTTTTAAATGAAATTATCTGGCATGTAAAGAGTTAATAATTTATTATTATGTCATATTTCTCACTTTATAAGAAGCATCAATGTATAAAATGCATCTACAATTTAGCAAAGATTATAAAGAAAAAATTATTTTACGAAATTATGATATGAAACTTTAAATAGAATATGAAAAAACACATTAATAAAATACATTTTTAAGAATCATTTTAACTATCACTCAACATTATGCTGGTAAAACTAACAAATAATTAATGAAATTGATAATGTTTTGTCAGTTTTGTGTCTGTATTTGCATCAAAACAAACCCTTACTGATACCAATCATATCACAGTAATCATGCTTATTGTAATAATTTAACATAAGTTGGCTAAAATTATTAATTCAACATTTATAGTAAAAATAGAGAGAAATAAATGAAATAAGTAACTGTATAGATCATTTAATATTAAGAAATAAATGAAAGGATTCCATCAAATAGTTTGATACACACTAATGATAATCAGTTTATATAAAATTATGATGAGCCATCAAATTTTCCTTCATTAAAAGGCTGAAGGAACATGTTTATGATATAGGTAAAGGGCACTACAATACAGCACTATCCAAGGTAGCACAGACTGAAGGTTCGGTGATTGATTGGAATGAAGCTAAGGTTATTAGACAGGTGCGCTCACCATCTTTGGCAATGACTTTGGAGAAATTTGATATATATAGATCCGGCAGTATGGGCAGATGTTTGAACTATAAAGACGCCACAAAGTTACCAACAGCATGGAAGTATATGACTGATCATAACCCAATATAATACGATATATGGCATGCACTCAGTCTATATAATTAGGTTTATTGTATTGATACATTTTATTTACTTTATTTTATTTTGTTTCATATTTTTTATGTTATTTTAATTTAATTGGATCCATGTATTTGTGTATTTCAATTTATCTTTTGTATATTTGTATTTAAACGAATTGTTCAAATGGATGTAGAAATTTGAATTTTGTTTTGCATAACATTCAAACTGGAACCGATACAAGAAAACGTTCCAAATACTTCAAAAATTTCAAAAATACCTGAAGATGACATGTGGAGCAGGTAGAAAACATTAGTAAGATATTAAATATTAATTCTCTGATACATAAGATGCTTGTGTCAGTATATTTAAGGAGTCTGAGTGTTTATTGAAATAAATAATTTATTTTAAATAATTGTTAAATTTTACTTAAATTTTGAGAAAATACACTAACAAGGGAAGGGGAATTTCCTTTCTATTAGAAGGAGATAACATCATTTCCTTCAAAAGTGATAGCATAACATGGGATCTTGACATGTCCCACTCCAAAAACTGCCCAACTTTCAACATGTGTCGGAAGTGTGGCTGGCTTTTCCAAATAATCTGATTGGAGGAAAGTTTGGTATAAAAGGTGATGGGTCACCTCCAAACACTGGCTTCCAAAAACAGTGCTCTTGTTCTTGCTTGTATTTTGTGCTTGTATTTTTGTTCCTGCTCTAGAAGATCTATGTTCCTGATTCTCTGGCTCTCTTAAGAATTTGTCAAACAAATATATCATCTGAAGAATAATCTTCATAAAGTGTTGAAGTGATTTTATAAATTATAGGTAATATAAAATGATATATGTAGACTCTCTCTCTCTCTCTAAAACAAGAGTAAGAATTAGTGAGTTGAATTTTAAACGTTTTTCTCCTAGTAAACATTGAAATTGAAATTTTTATTCTTAATCTTTTGTACTTATCTGTATGTAAGATTTTATGTAATATATATGATAAATATAATTTTTATTATATAAATAAATATATAGAAATATTCTTAATTATCGTTTGACCTGTTAATGCCTACCTCCATTGTCAACTCATTCCAATTAAATCTTTCTAAGATTCAGGTAAATTTTTAATATATCAGGAAAGTCAAATCATGAGTTAGGACACAAGATAATTTATCCTAACTGGTGTCAGGACTTTTTAGAGAAAGATTTCTCAAATCTTTCTTTCTACATTTCCATCCTGAATATGGAACAGAGTTATTCCAGAGTCTCCCAGTTCTCACAACTCAAAACAATCTCCATAGAATATTCAAAAGCACTAATTTGATAATATTAATTGCATTTTTAAAACATTNACATTGGTATATACTGTACATCGTAATTATATTATTAAAAAAATTATGAACTAGCTTGAGATTATTACAAGACATTACCTTAAAACATTCATAAGGCCAACTATCATTGCCAATTTTCATATTCATCAATATAACTTCATAATACCATTCTTGATAAATAGGTGTGAATACAATATTTCCTGAATACAATTTTTCATCTATTCCTCCTAATACCTGTAATACAGAAAATAAATAAAATATTAAAGGTAATTTTTCTTTCTTTGTTATTAATTTATGTACTGTAATGCCAATATAATTTAAAGTTCAATCACTAAAATTCACTTCAATTAATCAAAAAATATTATAATGAACATTGCATTTAAAATTAAAGAAAAATGTTTGAAGATAATGTTTAAATTCATTTAATATAAAGATGATGATCTTTATATCGAAGAAATTGTAGGTTTTTGTCAGTATATTCTCATTGAATAAATTATATGCAAGATAATATTAATTTTAATACTTGAGATTTACAATTAAAACATTTAGCATACTAAGCTACAATTGTACAGTGGTGGACAAAACTTTAAGGACTTTTTGCTTGTCTTTAAACAATTAACTTTATTAGAATTATTAATTCAATCGTGTCCATATGCTTTAAAGAAGTAAAATAATAGGTTTATATAATAATGAAAGAATAGTGTTGGAATATTTCTTTCAAAAAGTAGAAGACTAGGTAATTTACATTGACAAAACTTTAAAAACTACTAAAAATTAACTGCAAATTTTCATATAAATGTTAATAATTAAGAATGTGTAAGTGTATAAAGAGATTTGCATACATTTGTGTACAATAAAACATCTATCAAACATGGGAAAAGATGTAAAACTGACAGAGAAAAAACAAAGACAAATTAGTATTTTATGGCCACAATTACAAAATTATTGTACTGTTGCTGTCCAAATAGGAAGGAGTCACACTGTTGTGTACAACTACATCAAAAAAAGTAATAAATATAACTTGAAAAACAATGATGTAAGACCTTCTAAGGTAAATGCAAAACATAAGTGGCAAATTTTGAGAGTTGCAAGCAACAGTATTGACATCATCATCAAAAATTGTGAACCAATTAGAGTAAAAAGTTCATCCTTGTGCTGTTCAAAGATAAAATCACTAGGACAACTTGAAAGAAATTGAAAAGAAAACCTCCCCTAATTAAAAAACTGCAAGAATGACTTATGCTTGAGATCACATTTTGTGGGATACAGAATGGCAACAGGTTATTTTTTCATATGAAAAAATTCAACTGGATGGTTTGAACTATTATTTTCATTATTTGCACAAAGAAGAGAGGATTTTATCTCAACGAGTGATGGATGGTGGTTTCATTGTAGTGTGGAGTGCCATTTCTTGCAAGGGAAAGTTATCTACTGTATTCATAAATGGGCAAATGGATTCAAAAAGTATTAGGAGCCAATTGAAAATACTTTACTTCAAAATTTATGAAAATTTATTTTATGCAAGCCAATACAGTCATCCATTCATCTCACACCACAAAAAATTGATTTCAGCAAAAAGAAGTCCAACTGTTGAATAACCACCTCTAAATCCAATTAAGAATATCTGGAGTATACTCTCAAGAACTATATGCTGATGGAAAGTAATATAGTTTAATAGAAGACTTAAAAGTTGTAGTGGAGAAAGCATGGCATGCTATACCAACTGCCACACTCAAAACATTTATTATGAGTATATCAGATCACATTTTTCAGGATATTTAAAAATGCTAGAGTTGCCCCTATATCTGAAAAGATGCAGGAAGCAAAATTCAGATGGTATGGCCATGTCATGCATAGTGATGAACACTCAGTAGTGAAGACAGCATTACAACTCATTCCACCTGGACAATGACACCAAGGGTGCCCCAAAATGAGGTGGATGGATCGACTGCAAGATGACATGAGGAGGGTGACCGTCACTCCAGAATACTGTATTTCAAAAAACTGGATACTTAATTATATAACACTCACCAAATAAACCATTACCAGTTCAAAACCAAACAGAAAAATTCTTTCTATGAATGTTTTCATCTATATGTCGTCACTCCAGAAGATGCATTGGACCGTACCAAATGGAGAAGGGCATGCAAGAAAGTGGGTCCTGCATAGAAGCAGGACTTCAGCGCTAGGAAGAAGAGTTAATTAAATAGCCATATTATAGCCCAATAATTCAACAGTTTGTCATGAATTTAATACTTGTTCTTGTTCAGCCTTTTCCTTTTCTATTGAGCATTTTTATGTCTATCACTTGTATTGCTGGTTTGCATGTGACATGCAAGGAGCTGCCATACTGATATGGAACATTCTTCTTGCACAATAATTTGTTGTTAATGATCATGAACTGTTGCATTTTTACAGTAGCCTATCTACCTAAGTCCATGCAAGCCATCAGCAATGTGTGTGACCCATACTCGAAAATTTCTGGTTTATTAACAATTATATATTGGTATTAATATGGCACTTATTTGCCTGTCTGTTACTTAACCTTGATGGCTTCAAGCTTCAGATTCTAACAAAAATCAGCCAATATTGCCACACTCCACTTGCTTTTGTATGTCTTTATTCATACTTGCAATTTGTTCTTGGAAGCACTTGCCACATTCATCACTTACAGCATTGAAATTCAGGGGAAAATGTCCAAATGAGAATGGGATGTGCACTTTCAGTGACATGTCACAACAAACTTTCAAATGAGACAGTTCCTCTATAGTACAGACTTTCCAAAACATTACAAGATACATTCAAACTCTAATATTTATCACCAGATGGTAACATATACTTGTTGGAACATATCCCATACTCTTCCCCATTAGACTGAGTGTGGCATCAAAATCATGGTAATATAAAATTTGTTACATTTGTGGTCCAATAAACACATACTCTTTTATCTTCTGCAGACTAAGCTTTGGAAAGTTGTCGCATAGGAACAATAGGAAGAATGGCATAACTAGGATTTGTGCCACTCAGAATGGTCCTTGAGTTTGATGCCCCATGAAAAATACTAAATAACACACATCAAAACATATTGAGACAAAAACAAGTAAATAAAAACCTTAACTTTTTTCTTGCCAAAGTTATTAATATAGTGACAAACATTTTCAATCTAATTCATAGGCTAATATCAGGTCTATAAATGATTTGATTATATATATAACATTATTGATTACATATTTAATAATTGAACATATATTTGATGTTTGGAATGCAACAAAATCCAAAATCTGGAGACAATAGCATCCAGACTTTGGAAGAATAAAGAATATATACATTATAAACTCCTTAGCCCAATTTATTTGAATGATCTGCTTGATTTTTATCAGTATTTTACATCTAAAATTCTAAATTAAAATTTATTTATAATTATTAAATTTATCATGAGATGGCAGCCTAATCACCTACCTCTAGCCTTTGTTTTAGATTATTAATTAGATTTAAAATATGTATATATTTTAAATAATAAAAATGTGGCAAATCATTTGGTTATTTAAATCAGAAAAGAAAATTAAATACTTACTAATTCACCATTTGATCCAGCCATTGTTGCAAAAGGACCACATGTATGCAGAGAAAAAATATTCTTTAAGTCCTTAGTCTTCACTAATGAATCAAAAAAAGGCACAAGAGATGGAGGCTAAAAAATTAAATTATACATATTTTATAAATCTTAAGACTATGTTTTATATATCATGTGTACATAGACTTACATACTTTTGCAATTTTGGCATAAGCCATTCCTAATATTCCCTGCCAAACTGATGAATTAGAAAAAAAGTTTGTTTCTGATTCTATGCAAGCTATATTCGTATTCACAACTAATGGAGGATTACTTGGAACTGATATTAATTCAGTAGCAAGAAAGCCTTGCCAACTTCCAACTGTATAATTAACAATCAACTTTTGATTATTTGTATGGAATGTTGTAGATCTAGAAAAAATAAAATTTAAAATATCAAATCAAAATTATTTTTATGAATTAAGGTTTAGAAATTTATTTATAAATTTCTAAACCTTAATTCATTTTTAAGAAATTTTTAAGAAAGATTTTTTATCTTTATATCAAATCACAATTAAAATTTATTATTATTTCTTTAAAAAATTTATATGACTTACTTGTTGTAATGAAAATAACTATCTAAGTGCACATTTGAAATGGCTGCAATTGCTAAATTACTACTTCCAGTATCTAATAAAATATTAAACTGCAAAGAAAAGGTATTTCCTATATTAATATTTACATGATTTCTGTTTACAAAAATAAGACTATTTGAGTATATTGAATAATAAAATTTCAAACTTAAATCACAAAATGATAAGAATATAATTTACTGAATATCCTTTTCTATCAAAATTTACTATAAAAGTAAATGAGATTACCAACTAACCAGGGATGGAGTCAGAAGTCGACAAGTTTTATCTTTTTACGGGTCAGGAGTTGTGTATTTTTCTGCCAACTTCCCCATCCCTGCAACTAACAACTATAATCCAGTTGAAAATGTTTGTTTTTATAATAAATTTGTTCATTTTAACTGGATTACAAGTGCTAGTTGGTGCTTTTATTGTTTTCTTATATTGTTATATTGTTTTCTTAAATCATATTAATTTCTCAAAAAAATCCTTTCTGTTTTTTACTGAAATGTTTAAAAATAAATATAAGATATTAAGCTAAGAGAAGATAAATATGACGTTATAATACTAATCATATAATTCAGACATATAAATGCAGTAATATTTGTCATATTTAACATAATTAAAATTTAAATTTGTAGCAAAATTCTTCATAATCAATAGAGTATTAAATTATTATTTCAGCAACATAATAGTGCTGTTTATCGCAAACTTACGAGGACAGGCTGAAAAGTAATACACACGCTTGTAGAACACGAACAAAAACAAATAGCAAGATCGGGCAAAAAGTACATTAAAGTATATTTCTTAAGCTTCAAAATCATATATTTATTTTTCAACATAGCCCTAATGATGACTAACTCATTTCTCCAATATGTAACAAGTTTTTTCATTCCTTCACTGAAAAAGTCTTCCAACTTTTCTCGAATCCAGGACTTGACAGCTGCCTTCACCTCATTGTCTGAGGTGAAATGATTACCCTTGAGGTCTCTCTTAATTAAGTAGAGGAAAGAAATAAAAATCACAAGGCGCAAGATCGGGGGAATAAGGAGGGTGTGGAATCAGTTCAAACTTCAGGTTTCGCAGAGCCTCTCCAGTTGTGAGCGAGGTGTGTGGACGAGCGTTGTCATGTTGCAAGATTATTGGTGGAAAAACAGCACTATTAGGTTGCTGAAATAATAATTTAATACAAATTCAAACAAGAAGAATAATAAAGAATAAAGAATAGAGTATTAATTAGGTAACATCAAAAATGACAATAAACAGTGTTTTTGAAAAGCTATACAAATATACACATTCAAAACCCGATATATTAAGCAAATATATACCACAACTGCCATAAATGATCGGGCTAAATATTTAGCCCGATCATTTACTGGCAGTTGTGGGTGTATATTTGATTTTAAAAATATTATAAAAGTAAATATCTTTGGCTAGTAATCATCATCATATAGATGTTTATGAACTTATCAAAAATTATTCTTAAATATTTCAGTTAGAATCTTGCAATTTGTAAAAAAAAATAAGTCTCAATTTGTAATAAACAAGCAAAAACTAAAAATTTCAAAATTTTATATATTTTTAAGGATTTTCAGTATATTTATTACTTGAAAATACATTACATTAATTTAGAGAATCATTCAACCAAATATTTACAGTTCAAAATTTGAAAGAACTTTATCATTAATTTGTTTACTTTTGATGATTAAAAATAATTAAGATTAATGGACAAAATCGAATCATAATTTTCAAATAACAGTCCTATAGCAATTGAAAATAAAGTAAACATATTTTAAAATTTCCTTATAAACTGTCAATATTACATAGAAATATTGTTATATTTTTACATAAAAAATTATCTAATTAAAAAATTTTAATTAAATTTTAAGAACACACTATAAAATTTTTAAAAATTTACTAAAAATCTTTTAAAATTTCCTTCAGGTATTTCCTTTAAGTATTCAGTTATCTAATGCTAGTAACTAACTTAAGTAAACCTATAAAAGTTACTTAATGTTACTATACTTTTAGATAATTAATACAGTAGAGCATCAATTATCCGACTCAATTGGGGACTCAGGTTGGTCAGATAACTGAAAAAATCGGATAACCGAAAAGAATTTAAAAAGTACATTATTAGTATAGTATATTAGGATATCCCATGTAATTAGTATATTAGTATATCGCTATTAACCAACTTCGTGTTGAATTTTCATCGATGGTAAGCCTAACAAATTTTTTTAAAACAATAATCATCACTATTGTATCGTTAAAAATTATTTTTAAATTATTTTATTGCTCACAAAACAAACCACCACTCATAATTAGAAAATTAAGTCTTGTTTAAATACTGGCCTCCCTTCAATGGTTGAGCCATGTTGCCAGCTAAAACATGCAAAAATTTAACAAAAATAATATTAAAGTATCCAAGACATAGCCAAATATTGTAGCGCCACATCACTAGCAGACATTTGAAATTTGCTGACTAGAACGGTCGGTTAACCGGTGTGACGGTTTATCAGGGGTCGGATAATTGATGCTCTACTGTACATACATACACATTTACAAATCAGGGCTGTGGAGAGCATATACCATGGCCCAGGGTGTAGTGTGTACTCCTTTTTTTTTTTTTATAAGTAAAATATGCAAAATATTTCTTTGTTAATAAAAAGCAGATTTAACATTTCATATTTTGCTAATAAAAATAAGGTACAAGTGCATGTAGGTAGCCCCAATGGTGGTACTTCCAAGACTATGATGTTTAATTATTTAGCTCACGTGACTATGCCAGCTTCTAGTAATCCACTTGACTGTTTGCGGAGTACTTGATGTTATATACAGTGGTACCTCGGTATACATCTGCTTTAAAATACATCTTGTTTGGATGAAACAAATTTTGCTTGGTATACGACTGTTGTTCGGTATACGACTTAATTCAACTATATGCGCCATCTATGAACAAGTAGCACTATCGGTGTACTAGACCAGGCTAGACGTTTGCTGTGCCACAGTTTATAACTTTGTTAAATTTCTTCTGATTTTAATTTGTAAGTATTTTTATTAATCATGAATTGCAAAAAGGCAAATGAAAAGCAATAGAAAACTAAAAAATGACTAGAATCACAATGGAACTGAAAAAAAGAGATTGTTGAGAAATATGAAGGTGACATGCATGTTTAAGATTTAACTGTTGCATACTGTATTCCGAGAACGACGATATCGACAATCATGAAAAATAAAGACATTATTAAATCTGCTAACGTTGCAAAAGTTGTTAAGGAGAGTTTGATTTGATTTTGATTTAATGATTTAAATAATATAATACAATATACTGTAATAACTTTAAAAATCTATAATAAAATTTATTTTTTTTTTATTAATGTGTTCAAACAGTGTTTAAATTATTTTACAATACCATTAATATACCATATCAACAGGGGTTTTTTTTTTACATGAGAATGGATTAATCAGTTTTACATTACCTTTTATGGGAAAGGTTGGTTTGGTATATGTCCTATTCAGTATAAGTCCAAACATCAGGTCATATACCGAGGTTCCACTGTAGTTTTAAGCAGGTGTGAGGGATTTCCCCCACTGAGGTGCATATACAATAGGCAGTAGACTGATATGTGTTAAAAACTGACCTTCACATCATAGGGCTCCCTAAGTGCACTTTTACCAAAAATAACATTAATTTATAGAGATAGGAACCACTATGGGCTCCCAAGTTTTCTCCAAAACCAGGAAAATTCTCCTCTCTCTTGACAGCTCTGGTACAAATTACCTAAAGTAGCTTCTACCAGTAAACTTACTATTATCATTTTATAATGAAAACTGTATTAATTTTATTATTAAATACATTGAAAAACTCTGTAAATATAGTTTATAAAATTTGATGATAAAAAACATACCCTTTGCTCAGGTGTTCCAAAATCTAAATTGATATAATATCCTTCATCTACTATAGCATTATTATTAATAAAATTCCAATCATAGACAGGAAATAATGGAATATGAGCTAATTTTGATGTCAAAACTAAGTGAACAGTAAATGTCAAACAGAGAATTAATTTGGCAGGATACATTTTAAGTAAACCTCTGAAATAAAAAAAAAAAAAAAAACATAGAAACAGTTTATTCTAATGATAAATAATTAATGCTTTCGTCACATTTATAAATTTTATTGAGAAGTTGTAATGTTGACATTCAGATAACAGGGTTAATAATAATAAATTTAATCTTACTTTAACAAATATTGTGCATTATTTGACTGGGCTTAATAAGCATTTCTCATTCGTTTTCATCGATAAAAAAAAACCACGCTCTTATTGCTGTAATCGACATAATTGCATAATTATTGCTTCAATTTCAATTTCCTACCACCTCCATGTTTTGATAAGCGCCATCTGCGAAATTAAGATTAAAAATATATAAATAAATAAATAAAAATGTTCATAAATTATTAAATATATTTTTGTATTAATTTAAATAAATTATTTTTATTAACGTTAAAACTTAATTATAATAATTAATATAATAATAATTTTATTATATTTTTAACTTTAGGAATTTTACATTTTATTTTATACGTTTAGATTATAACTATAATTAATGATATTTAAAAAAGTGACGTTAATTAAATTACTTTTAATTAAAATTCTACTTAATATTATATATTTACCGCTGTCTGCAGAGGCGGATTAAGGTCGGTTGAGACCCCGGGAGCAGAAGAAAATATTTGGCCTCTTAAAAAAAGAAAGAGAGAGAAAAAATAAAAATACTGTATGTATATGTTAACTATATTTTTAAATAAATGAAAAATACTGTATTTACAATAAAATTTAATTATAATATGTCATATATTATATTTAAATTTTACCGCCGATTGTAAACTTGTAAGTAATTAAAACTGCGCATATGAAACCAAACTTGGGGTCATTAGAAAAAAATATAAAGTTGGGGTTTTGTGGGGCCCTTCAGAAGTCGGGGCACAGGGTGAGAGCCCGATGTGCCCGCCGTTAAATCCGTTTCTGGCTGACTGGATGGCAGAGTTGAAGCGGTGAACAAAAATATCTCTTTTGGTATGGATTTTAACGAAGAAAGCCTTGTGTGGTACTGTATCTGTGAATTGAATTATGGCCAGGGATGCATAGAAGAAGAAGCAAAATAAAAAAAAAAAAAATTGCCTTGGTCCTCGAGGAAGTAAGGATCCCTTATACAATTTTTTTTTTTTTTTCATTTACTGTAAATTTTTAATGATTCCGCATCTTTGTGAGCTTTCATGAGCAGTCGGTTCGCGGTCGGAGTTATGCTCGTTACACTTCTTTTATTGAACCATTATGGAAGAGTAATAGGTAACAGCGCAAAACGTAGGGTTGCATTATAATTTTATTAATTAAAAAAGTTTACTAAACTGCACAACTACTGTAGAACGAATAGCACTACGTGAGTACGTGAATGAAACAAAGGAAAATGGAAAGAAATTGGAGCACTTAGCAATGGCGTAGCGTGGGTGTCAGCCGCCCGGGGCAAAGGAAAATTTCGCCCCCTTATTTAGGTATTTTAATTTAAAAGACTAAAATTCAGTTTTGTCACAGAACAAGCAATGAAAAATTCCGTGCTAGTGCAGCGACCTGTTTAAAATAGCTCTATTGGATAGTGGTGGTGTATATGAATGCGAATGAATCGTACAAGCAAAAAAGAAAAAAAAAGGTCAACAGGTCGCGCAGGATATCCTGGGATGAAATTACTAGTTCACCAGGACGGTGAGCCGATTCCCGTACTATCCGGACGATAGCACTATCGTAGGCGCGACGCAAATATAGATTGGAATGGTTCAAATTTTTACAAGATATTATTATTATTTATTGTGAAATTTTGCCGCCCCCTAAAAGGTAATTTTGCCGCCCCCTAAAAAGTGCCGCCCTGGGCGGGCCGTTCCGCCGCCCCCACTACGTTACGCCACTGGCACTTAGGCATTTCATTCACTTCTCCATTTTGTTCTCCTGAATGTTGACTCCGTCTCTCACCACCCGGTCACCTAAGGAGCTATAAATAAGTGGAGGAAGTGGTGGAAATATTTACATCGACAGCTTGAAGCCAACCAATGTCACGCCGTAGGGCATTCCGCCATATTGTGCGGGAAAAATTGGTGAACAACTAAAAGGTAAAGGCCCGAATATCATCCCGTCATGTTTTTGTACTTAATATATTTTAGACTTTTGGCAAATTAAAATGTGTTATACTTTAAATACTGTATTCAATTAATTTCGATATATATATATTGCTGAAAAAATTATTAAAAAGAACACTTTTAAAAAGCGCGTTTTACATGTATGTAGTACAGTACAAGAGAAGTGAAAGTACAGTGGGTGATCGGATAACGAACACTTTCGCGAAAGATTTTTATGTTCGGATAACGAACACATGATCGGATAACGAACACCCCACAGAACAAACGCAAGAAGAAGCGACATAAAATAATGAATACCGATTGGTCTTCCCTTGTCTTCGGGCAACAATTCTAAACTTTCCGGAGTGCGGGAGACATCGACATCGACGCTCAAGCCGGTATATAAGATCGGATCGGATAGTGTTCCTTTGAGCTTTGAAACTCTTCCCTGAAATTCCAGCCTTTTATTTTTCTGACAAAAACAATTCTTTTATGTATTCGCGAGACTATCGGGTAGGCACTCGTTAAGTTTTGCGTCTGTTTTTCTTTTCGAAAGGTGAGAGTATAATAGCAAAGGTAGAGAGTGGGGCAGAAGATGCCTAATGTTGCTGGGCAGTATGGCGTGAACAGGTCTACAGTAGGCCGCAGTTCAATCTTATTTAGGAAAAATACTGTATAATCAAGAAGACTCAAGCAGCTAAAGGAGTAACAAAAATCACATCTGAGAAATAAAGAACATCGAAGAGTTCATAATGGAACCTGAAACGAATCTAACGACAGAAAAACGCCAAGAACTCTTGAATGAAGAACACCAAGAAACTAGGCGAGATATGTTTTCTTCTGAAAAAAAGGATTAATGCCGATATCTGTTATTAAAGATCCTTTGAAGAAGTGGGAAGATGTCAATACAACGGTCTTAGAATGGCATCCAAACCAGGTTGAGGCTTGGGGATTTCTACAATTGCAATACTGTTAATTACTTAAGAAAAATCCTGTAGAAGAGAGAAAAGCAATCGACGTTAGACAGATTCTTTAAGTTCGTTAACTGATCACCCACTGTATTGGAATCGTGTCATATTTTACCTTCGGAGTTTTTTGCAAATCTCCGTGTTTTGAGTCCTCCTGAACCCGAAAAAGAAGAAGAAAAAAAAATTGGCGAAAAATTTTGTGGATATGCTTATGTGTTTTGGCGTCTATTTCGTTTAATACTTCTGAATGGGGTAATGATTAAGAAATGAAATTTGGCATAATTAGCTTGTATATAAGGGGCATTGATGCTATTAAATTTTCGTGGTTAAAAGTCGAGAGGGTGAAGAGATAGATAATGGTCAGTTGTCACATCTCAAGTGGGCTCAAACTTATGATGATTTTACTTGTTAGCATTTACAATTTTTTTTTATAAAACTCATCGCTACCTCAAAATTATGCCTTTCGTAATTTTGAAATAATTAATAGCATAAAAAGTATTCAGGAATTTCTTAACAATATGACATGTATTCAATATAGTTTATTAATATTAATATTATTATTATTGGAATGGCTTTAAAAATTTTAATACTCTGTTTTCTCTCTTACAGTTTTTATTGCATCAACCGTAGCTTTCTTACCTCTAGTTTTTGTTTTTAGCTATCTGAAACAAATATTAATAAGTTAATATGTTAAAAATCTGAATTTTTAAGGTGCATCTTTCAATCACTACTGTAAAAGTGTTTTATTTTCAAGGAGAAAAGTATGCCACGGGCTTAACATTTTGTTTTTATGAATTTATTGCAGAGTCAATGTATAAGTTAAGTTAGGTTAGATGTAATATGTCAACACCATGAGTAATAAATACAATTGCTGGGTTTGTGTTAAGTTATTTCACTTATGATGGGTCTCTAAGGCATCCCGAACATGAAATTAAGCGCATATTATTATCCATAATAGCCCATCAAATTCCCATCTGTTTACGAACGCATAAAAATGAATTTAATTGCAATATATATATATTAACTCAGAATGCAATGTTTTGACAAAAGTACACAAGATGTTCGTTATTCCCCGCACAATATGGCGACCATCATACTGAGCGCGCATGTATTTGCTTCGGTGGTTGACTATCCTTTGCCTCTCCAGTTATTTATAACTCCACGCGGTTGCCCCCATTGTGGGCCTTGCCTTGACATAGTAAAAGATACCCACAGAGTTAAATTAATGTCGCGTATGGAACAAAGTATATTAATAACATACATCCGAATATGGACAATATCTACATAAATATTTTCTGTAAAATTAAAAAATAGAGGCTAATAACAACGCAGTATTTTGTTGAAAAATATAAAATCTGCAGCCAGAAATATATTAAAAATTCAATATTACACTTGCCAAAATATGGTATTGGACTTAACCCAAAAAAAGGAACAATGCGATATTATTATTTTTACAATTGTGATAAAAAACAACTATTTAAATGAATCTTTTTTTGGCAAATTACAGATTTTATAGCAGTAAAAGTTATAATTTTAAACCATATTCTATAAGAAAAAAACATGGTCTGATAAATTATATAAATTTTTATTTCGAATTTTTACCTTATTTAATTATAATTTACAGCATCCCGATCATATATTTTTCTGGATTAATTTTACTTTATACAAGTTATTTAAATTTATAGAAAAATAATTAAACAAAATTTAAAATACATTTTAAAAATATTCAATTTCTTAAGAGTAACTTCTTTAACATCTTTTTATAATTTAATATATTTTAGAATTAAAATGTACAATTTACAGCTCAGATCAATGCTTGAGGATAAGGATTTTCGTTGATCTCTTCTTCACTATACAGCATCTTAAAGTCTCTTGTCGTATTTAAATTATAAAAAAAGATCATTATCAGTACTTATATTGTTGTAAATATTAAAAAATAATAATGTATTAAGATCATAGAATGCCCAAACAAATTTTATAAGTGAATACATAATAGAGGAGCAACTAAAGAATGGTTTTTATTAATATACAGTAGTTACATCATGCATTTAAATATATTTCTTTCTCTAATATTACAAGAAATTTGTAAATATTTAAGCTGATAAAAAGTAAAAAAAACTTATCCCAGTTGGCAACTATCGTAAATTTTTTTAATGGTATTTACTTTTATTAAATAAACTTTACTTTCTAAAATACTGTATATATTGATTTACTTTTATAATATAGGATTAGCATTATTTTCGAATATAATGCTTA